CTGCAGTCTCGCGGCAGGAGAGCGGCGACGTTTCCAGCCTCCAAGCAGCAAACGCTTGGATCTTGGAAACGCCGGGAAGCGCTCGTGTCCTTTGTGCGGGTGCGTGTCCGCCCGTGCGTGTCTCGAGGCACCGCAAAGGGCAGGATTCACTCACTCCATACCTATATTGTTTACAAAGCGCCTGTTTTAATGTAAATACTGAACTTGCATCTGTACTGTGAATCAGATGAGGTCCCCTTTGCAGTACCTGTTGTAACGTGGATGTTTACTGTGGTTTTCAGGTGGAAGAGAAAGAGAAGTTGGTTTGTCTGTTAACTTCTGATTAACCTGAAGGTTTGGGGAGCCGAGGGTTTCTTTGTTTTTTAAATTTTGTAGCTATTTATTTCATAGCTTAAAAACAAACAAACAAACATCATAATAATAACAACAATAATAAAAGTAAACCTGTTACCAAGCACACAACCCGGCACAGCTTGAGAAAAGCTGCTGAAGTCACTGGTGAAATGTGGAGTAGTAACACAACAGCAGGTACAAACTGTGTGGGTCATCCTGATTTCTGCTGGAGCTTTGCAGACAAGAGAAAGGGGGCTAGGGAAACTGTAAATGTTTGTGCATAGGAATGATTATAAAATGTGTAAAATGCACTTTTGTTTGATATACTCCTTTCTAGTTTTAGGTAGTTTGCTGGAAACTGAACTGTCGTTCTGTTGTGAACTGCTTAAGTTAAGAAAAAAAAAAGACACCCCCCCCAACGGCATTAGTGTCTATTGAAACTGTAAAGACGTTTCTTTTTAACTTTTTTTTCCTGTACAGAATAAGCATGGCATTTTAAATATTGGTGTTCTTGTTCCCAGCATGTGTGTTTTAAGACAAAGGTTAAAAAAGTGTCTACGTTAAATTATGAACCTAGTCGTCCAAATAATATTTTCTCATTAAAATATGTAAATGCAGATTTAGTTTCTTATTTGTCTTATTAAAGAGTTTACACGAGAAAAGTAACAGCATTAGTTCATGAAAAAGGAATGACGTTATTCCAATATTTAGATTAGAATCTAAACAGCCTTTTCACGGGAGGTATAAATATAGTATTAACATACCACGTTAGATAAAATTGTGAGTATTGCCGGTTTACCGAAGAGATAACATACCTAAGTGTGTTCTGTGGGTTTTATATCTATATATCTACACACATATGCATACACACATACGCATTTGTGCCCTATACAGTTATACCGACTATAAACACGTATTACGTTTACGCCTGTGTGTATGTATACTTATCACCTACGTACTCCCAGTCAATTTTTCTCTAAAAAGTATAAAAATTAGTGAGCTTCTATAATACAGAGCAACCATAAAATCTTTAAAGAATTAGTTACTTTTTAAGACTGAGAATTCTGAATTTTTGTCAGTTGTGGTTTTTCTTACAAGTGGCATCTCAAAATCTTTTTCAAGTAAAAGTTAGCTATTGTAGCCTTTTACCTGTCGTTGAAACCTCCTCAAGCGTTGCGGCCACTCCAACCACTGCTATAACTTCTCCATCTCTATTGATGACACTTTCCAAAACCGGTAGGTTGCAAACTCTAACACTTAAAATTGTACCCGTTTTTCTGGAAGCCAATATACGCTCCCTTTTAAAAAGTAAGGGCAAAGTAGTTACAATGAAAACTGGATCCCGGGCACCTTCCAGTGGGGTTCTCCAATTCCTTCAGGGATTTTACAAGGATTCCGTAACTGTTGCAAATGATAGAAGCAATCTAGTGAAATTAGTAAATAAGTGTCTCGGAGATGAGGCCGTTTACGCCAAGAGCGCAGTTATGAGACAACCGAATACTTAACGGCTTATTAGCAGGAAAACGACATTGTATTCTAATGAACGGACAGGATTCACTAATTCTACGGCAATGATGTTACATCATTGTTTTGCCTCTGCCTGATCTCTCTCTGAATTTCTGGACCATAAGCAGCGCAAGTGACATCCCCATTTCCTCGCTACATACCGCAAGGTCCTTGCAAAAGTTTTAAGATTAATGTAGAGGGTAATTAATCCAGTTGCGACCATTTTTTTTAAAGAGAACGGATCCCACACACAGAAAAAAGGTGGAAAATACATGAATCATTGAGCTGATTAAAATGCATGAAGCTGCTAAAGCTTGTCAGATGGGGGACAACTGAACTCATTCATCAAGTCCAACCCACGATTATATCAACACGATCAGCTAAAGAAAGCATTCAAAACTTATCACCAGATCAATGGACACATAACTCGACAAACTTTTCCTAAACAAGCGATGACCTACATTTTTAGACGACGAGGACTCTTTTTCTCCTTCCTTTCTTTTTTTCTTTTAAGATCTAGTAGTCAGAACAAATCCTCAAAGATGAAATCCGAGCTCAGCTAAGAAGATGAAGCTGCGCGTTCAGGGTATTTTAAAACTATACAGTAATCAGCGGAGATAACGATCTGAAAAGGTTATGCCCCAAAGCAAAATATTTTCAAAAGGTGCAATAGCTTCCTCCCTACGTAATCTAGTAAGACTACTCGCAACCGAACTTTTAAAGTGCCATTTTCCTCCTTATCTCTCCCGCGGGCCGCAAGCGCGCAGCCCGCGGGGCCGCCGCCGCGCCCAGGGGCGCATCTCCGCCCGCGCCCGCTCCCCTGCAGGCTGCGACGCTTATTTCAAACAAGTACGCGGCCCAGCGCCTCGCTCTAATTTACTGCTTTGCCTTGTTAAATCTCCCTAATGGCTCAAGTCCAATGTCAATAAACACAGATCTGAAATGGAACAGCAAGAGACAACAGCGCGGAGGGAAGGGGCGAGGGGGGGCGAGTGCATCAGCCGCGGCCGAGCCCTCCGTCGTGTTTAGACGCTTCGTGGGGGTCGGGGGGGGATTTCCTTATTTTTTATTTTATTTGCCAGCGAGACGTTATAAGCTAGGCGTACTTGATGCAAAGAGACCGTTCGTTCTAGGCAAAAGCTCTTTTCTTCCGGCGGAGGAGGTTGAGCCCGGCTGCGCAAGGTAAGCCCGCGACCCCAGCCGTGCTTGGCGACTCGGGTTTTTGCTTCGTGTCAGTGCATGGTATGTGAATCCTTTCTCGTCGGGATATTTCTTTTTTCTTTTTTTTTTTGTTTTGTTTTCTTTCCCCTCGACGTGTGACAAGACACCACCCCACAAGGCTGAATCCTCTATTGAAGAAAGCCAGCTCTTTCTCACCCAGAATATTTATTTTCTCTCGGACCGCGCCTTGCGGGGAAGGGCGGTCTGTGCCAGGTAGGGAGAAAAGAACTCCCCGGCGACCCCTGTGAGGGAGTTTTATGAGCCAGCCTTTCTTCAAAAGTGGTTCCTTGGGAAAGGCAGAAAAAACTTAGCAGCTTCATCAACTTCAGTGACGAATTATCTCGGAATCTTAACATAAATATCACTTTGTGGGTTGGGGGTTTTTTGTTTTGTTTTTATTAACAAAAAGAAACCGAGACTGTGAAGCCTTGGAGGGGCTGTATTTGTTTCTTTTAAACTAACAACAAATTATCTAATTAATATGTTTCAATTACAGCATGAAAAAGAGAGGCTTTGGACCGCCTGCAGTGGGTTTACAATAGCCCCAGAGCCCACTATAAGAATTTACAATAACTTCACATCTGTTTCTTTATTTCCCACTTTTCGAGTCTAAAACTCCTCTCGAAATCACTTCAAACCGTGGCCCAAGTTATGAAATATGGTCTCTCTGCCAGGGAAAAAAAAAAAGGTGGAAAGAAAAAAAGGACAAAACTTTGCAGATCGAGGCTTCATTTGCAAGCTAGAAAGTGAAAGCCCCATTGAAGAGCATTAAACAAATATATTAGAATTCTGTCACTTTATGCAATTGAGTAGATCAAATAAAGGGTCCCAGGCCACTTCATTCACTCTCATTCACTTGAATAGAAAATGCAAAGAATAGCAAACCTAGACTGGGCCACCGATGTAGATTTAGCCCTTTTTTTCTAAGAGACAAAAAGACTGAATTTTCACAAACACATTGCTGACTCGGGGACTAGGAAACCAGCACTGAAACCCCTTTGGAATTTAAATTCATTTTATCTTCCTCTCTCTTTCTGGGTCCGTTTGCGCTACAGGGCGAGTTGCACTGGCACCCTTGCTCGGAAAAAATACAATACAACACAATACAACGAAAAAAAAGGCTCCAGATTTATCAAGCCGAGCCACAGTACAGTTTGGAAGGTAACGTTTTTATTTACAAAGAGAAAATGAGGAATCATCCGCCTTTTGCCCAAGCTGCCATGAGAATCGCAGCCTTTTCACGGGACGCCTAGGCAAAGTGCTCCTGCCCGGCCGCACTCCGCGGCCTGCCG